ATGTTTTATGACTTCTGCACCACAGTTCTAAATTAAGACCTGTGTGTCTCATTTATAGGAGGCTATTATACCAAGATCTTGGGCAAACAAGTTATAATGCTTCAAGAGGAAGCAAGAAGCCCCTGTATTATTTTGCTGCTTATAAAAATAAAGAGCCTTTGTGAGCCTGTTTGTAGACCACCTTTCCAGAAGCTTTATGTTTGTTTCGCTAGACCTAAGACCTTACCACTAGTAAAAATACCATGGGGAGTAAGTTGTCTCCAAACACACTGCGTTTAAAATATTTCTATACTTTTTGTTGTGGAATCACAATTTATGTTATTTACATTAGAGAAAGACTTGCTGAAGGTTTTTAGATTGTTTTTTTAAAATGGAAAAATATAATTGTTGTTGTAAAATGAAAGTTGTCTCCTTCTAGTTTTCCTTACATTTCTTCTACCAAAGTAGTATATTTGTCTGCGCATTTTGAATATGTCAGGTTGTTTTGTGGGAAAGAAAAAAATATTCTACACTGTCATATTTCCCTCAGATGCAATTCTAATGTGTAATGAATTGGATATCCGCTCTGTATGTCAAAACCACATGAGCAATGTTTTTTTTAAAATAGCAAGCAGTATGGTATTACATTTAGAGTGCTTTAAGTTAAAAAGATTATGCCATATCTAAATGTATTTAAACTTTAAAGCATTTCCTTTGTTTAAATACAGAAAACAGTGGGAGTCAACTGGGATAATGCAACCAGGGCAATACCGTAACTACCTGGTGTATTTCTCTGCAAGATGAAGTTGATACAGATCTAGTTGAGAGGAGAAGTTTGTGAAAACTCATGCGAATCTTTTTCTAAGTATCAGTTGTGAAATACATTTTCTTTTGGAGCAATGTGTTTAAAATTTCCATTTGTTTTGACCTTCTCTTTTGTTGTTTTAAGGCAGATACTTTTGAGTAGCAAGAAGTTTACATTGTGAGAATATACCATATGTATGATTCCTGCTTTATAAGATCGACCTCTTTGCCTTATGTTTAGTATCATTGTTAGCTTCTGGTCCCTATGTACCTGCTTTGTGTAAAATGGGTATGACTGTGAATTGTTTGTGAATTTGTATGTAAATAATTTGTATATGAAGATACTATCCTTTAGTGGAAAATGCCATAAAGGTGGAAAATCATTCTAGAAAATCCTGATTAAAAAAAAAAAATCAAATATCTGATAATTAGCTTCCGGTTTTCATTTATCTGGCTCTTGCAATGCATAGACTCTAGTAGATGAAATAGCGATGAGTATTCATCTATTTATAGCTTAGACTTGGGCCTTATCTCTGTGGATGTTAAGGTGGTCTGCTTTGATCTGCAGATTTACTTGACTAGAAATTTGCCCTATAGTCCACAGCTCAAAATGTAACTAGCCTTGTTTGCTGTTTAACTAAATGTATTGTGTCGCTTCCCTCCCCCTCCCCTGACATATTTGTTCTTTTGACCTATCCTATTCCTTACTGTTTATGTGAATTACACCTACTCAGGACCCCAGCACGTTACTACTTCTTGCACATTGATAAGCTAGTTTTTCACAAGTCCCGTTTGAAATAGGTCTTTAGCAACTGATCTGGTTAGCAAAGAAAAGATGAACGAGGAAACTGCAGTAAAGAGAAATTGGCACTTTTAAATCGCTTTTGAAGTTAAAAATAAATACTACATATCCATCCTGGTTTGGGAGCATAGTTTTAGTGAATAAAAATACAGTGAAATTTAACACTGTGTAATTACTTGTGTTGAGGATAGTTAATTTCACCAATACCCTGATTGATTTGCTCATCAAAGGTACAGTGAGTCTGGGGAGGGGAATCTCAGTGGTGAAAGTCTGGTGGTACCTGTGGAGGGCCAAGTTATATTGTAAGGTGAACTGAAAACCTCTTCTACCAAAAAAAGTAAAGTTTTAGCAAATATTGCAGCTATCGTACCGGTAAATGAGGGGCTGCTTAGTCTCAATACTGTGCTTTGTTACATATGTCATCTAACTGGAGTCTAAATTAGAGGTCATCTGCTGGCCAACTAGGAGATACCGTAATTGTATTTGAAGAGTCTGAAAAAGCTTATTGAAAAATAAGCTATCAAAAGACTTTAGCCTGGATTACTCTTCAATAATTTCTGTCTAGTAAAGAAGTGTTTGTATTGAAATAACCCCTGCAGAAATCAATGAAGACAGTACTGTGATGGGCTACTTCCTTCCTCTGCCATTTCTGATGGGTTAACTCCCAGCCGGCATTGACCAGCTACCCTGGTTTTGTACCACATCACACAAAATAATTACATATAATTCTGTGCACCTCCTAATACTCTGTATTAATTAATTACTTGGTTATTTTAACACTGAGGTTAGCAAACAGCCTCATTTCACTGTACGGTTCTGTGGGAGTTCATACTGCTTTGTGTCCTGTTGTAGAAGGCCCACATTTACTGGTAGTGTCAGTATATGCTGTAGGTCTAGGGTTTGGTTCTTTCCTTTGCAAAGGATGCTGAGATTAGTGTTGTTACAAGTACATGTTTCATTTTTAGAGCATTTTGCTTGTATAAGCAGTAAGATGCCTGCAGAAAGCTTGCTTTTTCTGGGAATTAGTGTTCTTGGTTCTCCTTTGTTTTTAATATTAAATGCTATGCAGTAAAGGCAATCACTGCTTTTTATCAGGCTTGTCATAAGTATGTATCCTGTGTGATTTAATTGGCATGCAGTAGTGCAGTGAAAGATGTGAACTACAGTTTGTCATCAATTAATGACTTTTATCATGGCAAGAAATATATTTCCCAGAATAATAGATTCTTGGTCCTCGTATAGTAAGTGGGTACATTTTTACTGGTTTTAATGGATTTCACCCGTTGATGGAATGAGAGTTAGGTGGAAGATTCATAGAGGAAATGTACATCTAAAGCTGTTTTTTTTTCCCCCTCTCTCAGCCTTCTTTGAATCCTGGGGGAAGACAAGCATCTGATGTAGTGCTCTTAAACCACTGGAGCGTTCGAAATTATGATGTACAACGTGGGGACATTGTGTCACTGGTGTAAGTAATTTTGCATACATGTCAATACATGCTTATATAAATGTTGAGCCATTAGTATTTAGTATTTAGTCTAGAATACTGTAAGTATATATATGAACAAGGAACATAAATTTTTGATAGTGCATAGTTGTTATTCCTATAATCAGTTTTTAAAACTCGGATGTTCAAAGAATGCATTAGCAAGTTTATACTTCAGAGGAATGTAGGGTAAGATATTATGTGATACAGTATATACGTGTACCAAAACTGCCAAGAAAAAAAAAGAGCTGTGAGATAAAGACAGAAGATAGATAAAATATTATGTGGCTTGATGGAATATACTTTTTAAGTTGTTTGGCTATGCACTCATATTTGTGAGAAAAATAGTGTTTCTTTACCAATTAATACTAACTTTTTTTTTTTTTGGTGGAGAAATCTGGCTGCTGTATAAAATTTTAAATAAGATCGCATGAATTCAACTGTCTCCATAAAGGAAAAATGTAGCAAAAAAGTTTTGCAATTATAATGAGAAGGTCTGTGTGTCAAGTCAAAAGGTGGCAGTGTTTCGCTGTTGAAAATATTCAAGACTAACACGACAGAAACTCTATTTCAGCCTTAATGTAATATAGAAATGGAATGTCAAAGTGTGCATAACTGACACAATGATATAGTACATACTCGTACTACATGCTTGGATAATTTAAGCTTAAGGTTTAAGGTTTTAGTTTTGTAAGTGAAATGCACAATATGTAGATTATAACAGACCTGTCTTTGGAAGCTATATTATCTGGCTTCCTTTTTGTCGTATATCTCTTCTAATTTTTTGCCTACCTCTTCTAATTTTTCACCTACCTCTTCTCTGTAGCCGTAATTTGTATGACAATTTTAATCACCAGTTCTTAAAGCGAATTCTCTCGTATAGTCATCTTTTGTTAGAAACTTAAAATTTACTTTATGATGTGTCTTATTGTTTGGCATGTCAGATTTTCTGTAAATGGTCTAGCTACAAATATTAATTTATTCATATTTGCAACACCTAATATTGCAAAAGGACTCCAATTTCAGGTCACTTAATGACTGCTTGTAAAATTTGATTCTGGCTGTGTGCATCCCTCTGCCCGAGTCATGCTCTGCAGATTGTTTGAAACCGTGAATGTTAACTGGTTAGTAATTAATAGACTGAACAGAAGATGAGCATGTTGTCTGATCAGAAAACAGAATGAATAGTCTCGTTCTTACTATACTTCTTGAAGGTTTTGGAACCGTCTGAGCCATCTGCATTGATTGCTTTCACTTTGCTGTATATTTGGGCATGATAACTAATATTTTAGATGCTGTGGATTTTTTGGTATGTTTTGAAAATTTTACCTGTTGTTGTTGGAGCTTATTGACACCTACATGGAAGAAGTCACATTGTATTTATGCGCTATACTGAGATGTTTCTTAATCTTTGAGGAGGTACACTGAATAATCAGACTAGAGAATTCAAAAAACACTTCAAGAACAATACAAAGACAGCGAAACCATGAAAATAATCCATTGAATAGTTTTGATATGAAAATATTGAAGCATATTTTATATATCAGTAACAACTTTGAAGTTGTTACATACTTCGTGATACGAGTTTGTTAGAAGCAGCTTTGGCCTGCTTATTGTAATGTAAAGTTTTTTTAATTGTTTTGTAAAGACTTGCAGCATATAGTATCTGGATGTGATTTTGTACCCATGTGAGTTGTTTGAGACTTAACTTCTGTTACATGAGGCTTTTATTGTGTAAACACGTTAATATTTTTAGCCTTTTCATTTTGGTTGCTTACCTGTGATTTCTGTAACTCACTAGTGAATAGATATCCTATGTATATGCATGAATTTTCCTTGGTGGTCCTCAGAAGATTTGGCTGATTTAGGTAAGGCATGAACAGGGAAGGCCAGTCTCCCATCAGCTGCTGCTTTTTCTGTTCCTGTCAGAAATTCAGATGGGAAAGTGTTAGTGGGACTGAGATAGGCAGATGGATATGCAAACCTTTTTCATATCCTACTTGGCTGCTTAACATCTTATCTATCTTCTCTTTGCCAAGTCATAGTAGAAAATAGCTATGAGGTTGTGGGAAGGTGGTCTTTTGCAGAACAAGAGCTGAGGTCAAATATTCCTTCATGGCAGCTTGACCAGGACCAGCCAAGTTCTTTGCTTTCTTCATACCATCAGAAATGCTGTGTCATTCTGGATGGGTGCTGTTTTTATCACAGCTTATAAAAAGGATTGCTGAGATCACAACTGGCCAAGTCCAGTGCTAAGTAGATGGCCCACAGCCAAACCTTGGAGCAAGGCATGAGTTAGTCTTGGTGGCCCTGGATGCCCCAAGAGAGGATCAGTCGGCCTGAGATTATGCTTGTGATACTGCGGGCAGATCTTAAGGTTTTTCCTCTCTCATCCAGTCTGGTTCTTGATGAACATAGATATTTTTGTTATTTGCTGACTTTGATTACAAATGAGCATCCTGTCCCCAAGCACTTGGTGGTGTTTATGCCTGGTTAAGGCATTAAATGAAGGCTGCATGTTTATCGAAACATGTGTCATGTGTCGCTGTCATCCCTGTTTCTGCATCTGATATAGGTGTAACTATGCATCACAACCACAGCTGTGAAATTAGCCACTGTGTGTGCACACATGTGCATATACCTGGTTTTACACATAATATTTAGAAAGTCATTAGTTCCTAGAAGTATAAAATCAGTCAGATAAAACCAGTGGAGAGAACAAGTTGGTAGCAAAGAATGATTTGTTTACTCGCAGTTTAGTGTTTTACAAATAGTTAAATCTTACCTCAGCTTTTTAGAAAATGTTTTAAGTTAATATTTTTCTTTTAAGCTTGAACTCACTGATACCAGAACTAAGAGAGCTCAATGTTACATGTTAAAACTTTTGAACTCACAATTTTAAGTTGTTTCAGAACTAAGGGAAATGAATATCATCCTGAATTTGATCACTTGCTTCAGTGCTTAATTTAGATACTGCTATATTACTGGGACTTAATAAATTAAAAATCCAAACAAGAATATTTTTTCAGTAAATTAAATAATTTCATGTGTTCCAGAATACTACCTTTGCATATCTTAAACAGATGCAAAAAGAGCCATGTAATTTTGTTTCGTTTGGAAATGCATTTATTTAAGTTCAAAGAGAGAATGTAGTCATGTGGAACATGAGGTTGTCTTTAAAAGATAAATAAATGCATATTTTTGCTAGGCAGACCTCAATCTTTCAGTAACTTTTGTGGTGAAACAGGCATTTTGTTTTTAAGAGCACTGCTGAGGTAGATCTCAACAGTTATGTAGAACTTTATAAGATATTGCAGAAGGAGTTACAAGTAGGCTTTTCCCAGCTGGTTTTGCTCTGTAAAGTTTGAATGCCAACAGCATTGTAGCTATAGCAGTGTGCATCACAGTGTGGGCTGTGCTGCTCATGCAGGTCCTTGGGAATATATGCTGCAACTGCACTTCCTGGTACTGATGGAGATAGTGCTCTTCTAGTGCGTATTAATGGGCATTTTTGTCAGCTTGCCTATATGTAATTTGGTTTCTGCTGTGTACAGGTGCAGGCACTGTTATAAAAAGATGAAGTGTGGTTTATAGCTCAAGAATTGATTTTGTTTGCCTCTACTGAAAATCTTATATCCTGGATGTAAAATCGTACCCTCTTTTTATTCCAAAATTCCTGTCTTAATGTAGAAAAAAGTTGTTGCAGTGTGTAGAAGATTGCAAAATCAGCATGTGTATGTAGAATGAGTATTTTATCGATGTGACAAAAATTTAAGTAAGCTTTTGAAATGAAGACACAACAATATCAATTCAGACAATTTTTTTTAGGTAAGTGAAGGTTTGGACAGTTCTTGTTCTTTACTTGGTTAATAGGTTTTTAACAAAGGAGTTAACAATGACTGCAGTATTAATAGGGTTGTTAGATTTTGAATGATGAAATTTCAAGGCTGTAAATATTCACAGATACTAATGTTAGCCTTTGGAGGTTGTGTTACTTCTGTAATAGAGAGCACACCTTCTCCAAGGTGTGACTGAGACTGGGAACTGACTCACTGGGTAGATTGCTTGGTGTCCCTCCATTTCTAATTTAGAATGTGTGCTTATGATTTAAATAAAAATAGCTATGCTAATTAATCTGGAAAAAGATTGAGAACCAATGCTGTTTGTTCTGTACATTCTGAATGCTAACATGCTTCTGAAGTTTTGAACCATAATAGCTAAATGAAAATGGGCATTTTATTTAAAAACATGTTTTTAAAGGTCACCTATAATAATAAGGAAATAAATGTTGCATATTTTGTCAGCTTCTTGTGAGTTCTTATATAGAAGCATAATGCTTGAAGTACAAAACCAACTTTTTATGTAGAAAATTCCTTGACATTTTTTTTAAAAAATGATTAAAAGCGTACTTCCTGTCTCCTATCCTGATGAAGGATATTAAGTGGCTTTTGTCACTGCCTCCTCTGACTAAGATTATGTTCAGGCCTTTCAGCAAACTCCCTTACTTTTGGTAACTAGTAAGTATTCTTGTGTAAGATTACGTGTGGTTGAGCTCTGAAAAACCCAATGCAAATCAACCTTATGGAGGAAGAATCAAAGTACTGCATGTGTGGTTGTCTTTGTGGCTGCGTCCCTCACTGACATCTGTTCAGAAACAAGAATTGGAAAAGACAGTTGCTGTGATGATTTTATGTGATGGTTCAACAAATTTCAGCCTATTCACACAAATCTGAATAGTCCAAATTTTGAAGGAATGTGGTCCTGTTCAGTTGATGGAAACAAAAGACTTATCAAATGGTGCAAAGTGAATACATACTATTCATAAAACATCACTAATTGGAGTTTCATTAATAAGACTAGCCTGGTAAAAGAAAAATCAGTAAGAAGGTACTTATTGAAGGAACTGCCTTGAATTTGAATCAGTAGTTGTAATTATTAAAAGACTTTCTACTAAATTCTGATAGATGTAACATGAATGGGTATTTA